TATGTATTATTAGTGTTGATGTTAAGGGGATATCTGCTGGGATTTTTCACTTTGATGCTACTAATTTTCCCTTTGCAACTTACAAATATCTTGGGAGAGATACGTTAGGGCTATATAATACCACAGATTGGAGATTTAAGAAGGCAGAATAACTGAATAAACTGTGGGATCCTAGATTAGATTCTGAAACAGAAAATAACAGTAAGGTCTCTAATTTAGTTAACATACTGTGTCGATATGTGAATTTTCTGGTTTTCCTAAGGATATTTGATCAGTAAGGTGTCAGGGGAAATAGGTGAATGGAGCAGGGAAGCTCTCCAAACAATTTTTGCAACTCTTTTGTAAAATTACTTCAAAATTAAGTTTATAAAACTGCAGATTCTAATTCCATGTCTGGCCAGAGCCTGGAAATATGCATTTCCCTAAAATGCCTAGTGTAGTGATGTTGCTGGCCTGTGGACCACTTCACTAGCAAGGCCTTGGCAAACACAGCAGATGCATTTCACTGTGTGCAACTTTCAAAGGACACTAGACTACCACGCATCACAATTACACTTTGAGTTCAGTAATCACTGCTTAACTAGGGGCATTCCTTAAACTCTGAAGTGCTGAAAGGCTCTCTTAGAACACTGACAGAAAAAGCCGACTAAAGAATCTGAAATCACAATCTTTGTTGCACGACCCATTTATGGTTGACCTTCCCCAGCGGAGCCTGGCACCCACCTCAAGGCTACAGAGCCAGGAGAACCTCCACAGGGAACAAACACCATCCACCCACACCTGTAATATGGAAACAGCCCTGGGGATCATGACTGGCCCTGTGTCCCACTGACGGTGGGCATCATCACCTAGACCACTGGGAGGCAGGAGAGAGGAGCACAATGATGAAGAGAACAGGTTCTGGAATTCCTGCTCATAGTGATCACTGCTCATCCCATTAAAATAAATTTAACAGCATATAATAAACCCACAAGAAAGAAAATAAGAAGGCAGCCAAGAGATTTTACAAATTTCTGGCAGACTAAGAGAATCTAATGAAGACAAAGGAAACAGCAAGGAGGGCTCTAAGCCCACATGCAGCATGCTGGGACCCAAAACCCAGGACTCTAGCAGAACCTGAAGTCTGTGCCTGCACACGAAGACAGTCCTGGTACAGAAGAGCTGCAAAGGCCCTCTAGACCGGCGGTCCCCAACCGGTGGTCCGTGAACCACGGTTGGTCTGTGAGGTCTGATAGGTTGGCAACTGCTGATTTAAGGAAACCTTTGGAGCAGTGGTTGCCAACCGGTGGTCTGTGGACACTGGTGGTCTGTGAGGTCCTAAAGGTTGGCCACCGCTGTTCTACACCAAGTGGGACACCCCCATCCAAAGGGGTCTTCCTTTTCCTGAAAGGCCCAGATAAAATATCTCAGCCACCTGGCATTCCAGGTCCAAGCACAAGTTCCCAATCACCAAAGGGAAACCCATACATTTTCAAAACCAGCCCCACAGACTCAGATCTACTAGCTTCCTCTTGCTTTACACAACAATTACCAATAATTGAGTCCTTGCCATATGAAGCAGGAAGTCAGTATTTTTTAAAAGACAACAGCGACATTAAATGAAAGAAGAAATTAGAAAACAAAAAAAGAAACAATCCCTATTTGTACCCTCAGTGACAAGAAGACAATACATTAAAAAACAATAAACTGCTATGAAAAAGAAATACAACAAATATACTTTCGGAAATTAACATTTCAATAATGGAAATTATATATATATATAAGTGACTGTTCAACAGGTAACTATAATGTGCAGTGATCACCAGGGGGCAGACACTCAACACACAGACATGGAAACATGGAACAGACTGATAAATCTCAGGAAGGGGGAGAGGAGGGCAGGAAGAAATTAACCAAAGATCTTATATGCATACTAGAGGCTCAGTGCATGGATTCGTGCACTGCTGGGGTCCCTCGGCCTGGCCTGCAGGGATCAGGCTGAAACCAGAAGTCCAACATCCGCCAGCAGGTCCCAGATTACAATAGGGCACAATCCATGCACCGGGCCTCTAGTTTAAAATAGGATTGGAAGATAAATTGAAGCCTTCTCTCAGATATAAGAATAAAATGACACAGGAAGAATAGATTCAGGAGGTCAAGATGTCCATTAACAATCTAACAGGAACTTGGAAAAGAGAAAAGAGAAGAAATTCTCAAATAAATGAAACCAGAGACTTTCCCAAGGCTGAAGGACAAGCCCCCGGATCAAAGAGCACACCTTTGGCATGCTGGAAATGTCCTAAAACCAAAGAGGATCCTAAACCAGTCAGCCAAAAGGAATAAGGCTACTTGGCCAAAGTTTCTCATGAAATGAAAATAGCCAAGATTAAAATATGGAGTCCAGAACAAATCCAGATGTATAGCAAAGGAAAACATCAGGATGATACCTGCATGGAGTAGTCATTCCAGGTTAGAAAAATAAGACAGAGGGCTGGAGAGGAGAGAGAAGGTTGAAGAGATCTGACACTATATTGAGAATTTAAAACAATGTAAGGAGTCAATGGAAGCAGAAAATGCAAAGAAAGAGAAAGGCCATTATAAACAATACAAAAAAATAAACAGCTGTATTAGAAGGGAAATGTATTACTTGGCTGTGAAACAAACAGTATTGCATAGTTATGAACAATTGAGTTAACTGAAACAGTGAATTCAGTGGATAGAAAAATGGGATATTTGAAGAGCTAAATCATACTATCATAACGTCAAAAATGTGTAAAATTAATATCAGCTTATTATTTAGAGCTATTAAGAACTTCTTGAAGGAACAACAAAAAAATATTAAGGCGGGGGACTGAGAGGTGGGATAGGGGACTGTTACTTTTCATTATGTACATTTCTTTAAAATATTAAATGTATGTGGGACGAGGTGGCCGAGTGGTCAAGGTGATGGACTGCTAAAATATTAAATATATGTATGTAGAATTTTTTTAAAACATTCAAACCTTGGTTCTGTGTGTCTTAGGCAAGTCACTTAACCTCTGTGGACCTGTCACCTCATCCATGAAACAGGACAGTCTCTACCGCATTGGGTCGCTGTGATGAGAACCCGGGAGATGATGAGCAGTCCCTGCCACAGAACACCAATGGCAGTTGTGTGTGTTTTTTAAAGCCAATGACAGAATACATGACAGCAACATATTATTTTTACTGCAAGACAAAAGGGAAACGGAGCTAAACATATAGAATTTTACAGGCAGTTCTCAAGTTTTCTTTTACCACTGGATATCTGCACCCAGGGTTGTCCTAAAACCTGAACGTTAAAATGATCCAACCATCTATTTTCTAATGTACCCCTTCTCTCACTGAAGACCACTCAACTATCCCGTTATTCTTTGTTTCCCACACTTCCAGTTACAGCTCTACCCTCTCATTAACTGGCTTAGTTTAGTGCTAGTTTTACCAACGCAGTCAGGTCTCAGAGTACATTCCTTGGGGGACATTTGGGAAGGACAGGTAACTCCAAATAGAGAGCAATCACCTGTTCCACTTCCAGACTCTAAGCTGGGCTCTCCGTCCTTGGAAGTCACTCACTCTTGTTGACAGTTCTTCGGGGAATATTTATTTCTCCAATGTTAAGACAATCCCTACCATCTCATCAGAGACAAATCAGTCCTCTATCAAGGCAATGTATCCAATTCGCTCACACGGTGGAGATGGAATGCACAGGCACGGGAGTGGGAGGGTTCGGGTGGGGTGGGGGGCGGGGGAAGTCTTCAAAGCAAAAAACTAAGGTCACAATTCAAAAGGATTAAACCACAGAAATAGAAAAAAAGAAAAGAGAGAGAAGAAAAGAAAGAAAAAGAAAGAAAAGAAAGAGAAAGAAGAGAAAGAAAGAGAAAGAAAGAAGAGAAAGAAAGAAAGAAAGAGAAAGAAAGAAAGAAAGAAAGAAAGAAAGAAAGAAAGAAAGAAAGAAAGAAAGAAAGAAAGAAAGAGAGAGAGAGAGAGAGAGAGAGAGGAAGGGGGAAAACACACACACACACCCTGAAATCCTCATTCACCAACGTCGGGAGAACTGGATCGGATCCCCTCCGAAGTCTACAGCTGCCTGCTCCTTAAAAAGCACCTTATGCCCCTACTGTATGCCTCTGAGGCCACAGGCAAAGGGAGCGAAAGCTGTTCGCGGCCCCGGCTCCCGGGGCTCCATCTCACACTGGTTATCGCAGGTGCCAACCGAGGGGGAAGCTGGACTGGCGGGAACCGCCACGCCGAGGGGTCTTTAGGGTGTCTGCAGTTTCCCATTTCCCAGAGAAGGGAGGCCAACCTGCCCCCCCTACACACACACACACACACACACAGCTGCGAGCCGCCCGTCTGCAGGGCAGCCCCCCAAGTTTAGATGCAGCTGGCGCGGCCCCCGGTGCGGGCCAGTCACCGGCCCGACCTGCCCAGACCCCGCACGGCAGGGGGCGGGGGGCGAGGCGGGGGGAGTGCCGGTGCAAAACAAAACTAGTGAAAAGAAAGGAACCGTCTTCTCCGGAAAGAAAACGAGCCGGCGCTCGGCCCTTTTACCCAGCTCCCCGGTACCGGAATGCCGGGGAGAGGGCGCCAGGCGCCCGAGAGGACGCGGGGGGCAGGGGGCCTCAGAAACCGAGGACCTGACAGGACTGAGGGGGCGCCCGGAGGGAGGGGCGGCGGGGTTCAGGGGGTGCCCGCAGGCCTGAGGGGGGCAGAGGTGCCCGGGGGCTTCCGGAGGGACTAACTAGGCTGAGGGGAACGCGGGGGGAGGAGGGGCGCCCGCAGGGCTGAGGGGAGAGGCGGGGCCGAGGGCGCTGAAGGGGCTACCGGACGGAGGCAGCGGGCCGTTGGCGGGCCGAGCAGGGCGTCCGGGTGGGGGCGGAGGGCGCGGGCGCCGCGGCCGGAGGAGGGCGAAGGGAGGAGGGAGGAGGGGAGATCTCGCTCTCGCTCTCGCCCCGCGGGAAGGGGGAGGTGGAGACGCGACCGGCTGCGGGAGCTGCAATTACCGTGTGGGCTGCGGAATTCTCGTGGTGTTTGTCGGGGAGATGCGATAATGGCGTCCGTCCTCGCGAGAGAAGCCGCTGATCTGCGCAGGCGCTGGGAGTCGTTCCCCGCGGCCCTCCACCCTGCGCAATCTGCGCAGACTCCCGGGACCGGCGCGCTGGGAACGGGGGCGGGGTCCGTCGCTCTAGGCCTGCAGCGCGCGCCACCTCCCGCGCCGGTGACTGCCGAGCATGCGCATGCGTCCCGCTCCCGCGCTACAGTTGGGACCCCGAAGAGTTTACTTCTCTATGGTGCGCCCGGGCTTCTCGCTTGCTGGTTGCAAGTTGCGTTGGTGGGCGGTGGGGGAATTTACATTTTCTTTTATATTGAAATAGGAATTAGCTCCCTCCAACGACTACATATCCCGGAGGGCCCTGCGCGAACTGAGAGCAGTGCATTCTGGGACTCGTAGTCCCGGCGTCTGCGCCATGCTTGCTGGTATTAGTAGTCTCTTCATACTCTGGTCGCCCGGCCTGCGCCTTGGGCTTCTGGGACTTGTAGTTCTATGCTCGAGCCCACTCTGAGGGGATTCCCTCCCTACCCCCAAATAGATGTAATCTAGGGTTCCCAGTGTCATTCATACAGTCTTGAGTACACACGAGTGGAAAATATAATGTGATAAATTTTTACATGTAATTAATGTTACGTTATACATCCTATATGTGCCAATGCAAATATAAACTGTATGAATGTAAATATAGCATGAATGTGGATATAATATATGTATATAGTATAACTGCGCGTTTGTGGGTACTCTAGGAAAAAAAAAATCCCAAATTATGGAGAATTCCCAGGAATCTTATTCTTGTGTACTGGTATCACCATTGCTTTTCATGTGTGCTGGAATTTCCATTACTTTTCATTTTTCTTATTTATACTCTCCCCTATTTTCTGAATTGTTTACAATGAGCAAGAATTCCTTTGGTCATCCAAATACAAGACGACGGAACTATTTTCATTTACCATGATCATTTCCTTTTTGCCAACAATAACACTCTGATTCAGGGAGGCAAGCAGTTGTGCAACGTTGGGCAACCTTGTTGAGATGGAATTCGAATTTTCTTTTATATAATTCTTCCAGAATTAACACTCAGGGGTTCTGCTAAGTCTGCTCATTGGATTCTTTTCCAAGAAATGTGCCTTAAAGAAATTCTGAAAGGTATTGGAAAGGTATTGTTATGGAAATTAGATATGTCCTATATAGAGGTGAAAAATCCAAAGAGACTGGGAAATTTTCTTTCATTTAGATGGAAAGATACCAAAGCAGGATTTGCAATCCCAAACACCTGAGTCTGCTCACATGGGAGATTCTAAAAAATAACCACAAAAAAATCCCGAGGTGTGGGGGAATAGGAAGGGGAAGCCCTCTTGAGAGCTCTGCCTTCTATCTCTCTGCCTCAATCACAGCCAAATCTATACACTTAACTATGTAAGAATTCTTAACATTTTACACCTAACAGGAAAGCAGGTAAATGTAGGGTAATATTTTTCATATTATTTCAAAGTATCGCATAGCCCTTGCTTGGAGCTCCCTTCCAGGGAAGCAACCAAAATGCAGAGACAAAAAAAAAACATGTCACAAATGAAAGAAGTGGAAGTAAGCAAACTACTGGATACAGAGTTCAAAACCATGGTTATAAATTTAGTCAAGGATCCTCATAAGAGCTTTAAGGAACTTAGTGAGACTTGCAAGGATCTTAGTGAAAATTTTAATAACATGGGAAAAAAAAACAGTCAGAAATTAAGCATATACTAACTGAAATAAAGTACAATTTACAGGGATTCAACAGTAGGGTAGAGGATTCTAAGAATCAAGTTAGTGATTTGGAACATAAGGAAGAAAAAAAAAAAAAAGCCCAATCAGAAGAGCAAAAAGAATAAACAACACAAAAATATGAAGAAAAATGTGTAAGGCGCCTATGGGACAACTTCAAGTGTACCAACAATTGCATTATGGGGTGCCAGAAGGAGATGAGAGAAAGCAAGAAATTGAAAACCTATTTGAAGGAATAATGACAGAAAACTTCCCTTACCTGGTGAAAGAAATAGACTTGCAAGTCCAGGATGTTCAGAGAGCCCCGAACAAGAGAAATCCAAAGAAGCCCACACCAAGATACACCATAATTAAAATGCCAAGGTTAAAGACAAGAGAGAATCTTAAAAGCAGCAAGTGAAAAGCAGTTAGTTACCTACAAGAAAGCGTCCATACAACTGTTAGCTGATTTTGCAACAAGAAATATTAAAAGTATTGAATAATAAGGACCTATAACTATGATTACTCTAACCAGCAAAGTTCTCCCAGATTGGAGAGGGTGCAGGCTGGGCTGAGGGACACTCCCCTTCCCCCAATGCATGAATTTTGTGTACTGGGCCTCTAGTCAAAATATATAAGGATCTTAGACAACTAAACAGCAAGGAAAAAAAGCAACCCAACAACCTGATTTTGAAATTGGCAGAGGAGCTGAATGGGCATTTTCCCAAAGAAGTTATTATAGCTACATGAAAAAGGGCTCACTATCACCATCATCAGGGATATGCAAATCAAAACCACAATTGGCTATCACCTCACACCTATTAAAATGGCCATAATCATGAAAACAAGAGATAACAAATTCTAGTGAGAATGCAGAGAAAAGGGAACCCTGAGCACACTGCTGGTGGAAAAGCCATTATGGAAAACTGTATGAAGTTTCCTCAAAAAAAAAAAAAATTAAAAATAGAATTACTGTAGGATTCAGCAATTCCACTTCTGGGTACTTATCCAAAGGAAAGAACTCAGTACATTGAAGAGATATCTCCTCCTCGTGTTTATTGCAGCATTATTCACATTCACCAGGAGAGGGAAACAACCTAAGTGTCTACCAATGAATGAATTCGTGGGAAGATATGAGATACCACACACACACACACACCACCACCACCACCAGTAACAACAACATGAAAGGACCTAGAGGACAAATACTGAATGATCTCATATGTGGAATCTAAAATAATCAAACTTACAGAAACAGAGTACTTGCCAGGGATTGCAAGTTAGGGGAAATAAGAGATATCCGTCTTATTTCCAATGGGTACAAACTTTCAGTTATATGATGAATAAGTTTTGCAGATCAAATGTACAGTATAGTACCTATAATAATAAAAGGGTAATATGCTAAGTAGACTGGACATCCTTCCTGACGAAGCTGGGCTGGAGGGAAGCCAGCTGGGCCCCGGGTACCTGAAGGCAGCCCAAAGAAAGCCAGCCCAAGTCCCAGGTGCCCAAAGGAAGCGGGTGCTGCCAGATGGGGGAAGGAAGGCCTACTCTGACATGAATTTTCGTACGTTGGGCCTCTAGTAATTAATAATACTGTAAGCAGCGTTTTCAACTGGTGTACCACAAGAATTTTTAAAACATGCTATTTGGGGGCACTGACCTTTTTTCCCTTAGACCCGAGGTCGGCAAACTGCAGCTCGAGAGCCACATGTGGCTCTTTGGCCCCTTGAGTGTGGCTCTTCCACAAAATACCACGGCCTGGGCGAGTCTATTTTGAAGAAGTGGTGTTAGAAGAAGTTTAAGTTTTTTTGTGTGTCTTTTTGTTTTGTTTTGTTTTGCATTTAAATATATTTTATTGATTTTTTTTACAGAGAGAAAGGGAGAAGGATAGAGAGTTAGAAACATCGATGAGAGAGAGACATCGATCAGCCACCTCCTGCACACCCGCCACTGGGAATGTGCCCACAACCAAGGTACATGCCCTTGACCGGATTCAAACTGGGACCCTTCAGTCCGCAGGCCTACGCTCTATCCACTGAGCCAAACCAGTTTTGGCGGAAGAAGTTTAAGTTTAAATAATTTTGCTCTCAAAAGAAATTTCAATAGTTGTACTGTTGAGCTGAGACCAGTTTGGCTCAATGGATAGAGCGTCGGCTTGGGAACTGAAGGGTCCCGGGTTCGATTCCGGTCAAGGGCATGTACCTTGGTTGCGGGCATATCCCCAGTAGGGGATGTGCAAGAGGCAGCTGATCGATGACTCTCTCATCGATGTTTCTAACTCTCTATCTCTCTCCCTTCCTCTCTGTATAAAAATCAATAAAATATATTTTAAAAAAATAGTTGTACTGTTGATATGCCTTAGATTCTAGAGTTAGATTAGAATGTCAAATAAAAAAATGGCTGCAGCCAACACAATAGCAATCTGGGGTGAATGCCTTGTCTTGAAACATAAATATATAGATCATATAATAGAGCTGCATATTATTGATCAATTCACATAATACCTATTTTTTGTCAGATGGACAAGAAATATATTTTCTGATTTGTTTGCAGAATTTTAGTAATTACTTTTGTGTGCCATGAGAAGAAATAGGCTGAAAATCACTGTTGTATTTCACTAGAAATTTAGGTATTAGTTAATCTGATCGTGGTAATCCTTTCAGAATATTCACATTTATTAAATCAGCATTTTATTTGCCAATTGTACCTTCAGAAAGCTGGAAAATAAACACTTTCAAAAAATGTAAAAGCAATAAGGACCCTACCCAAACACTGTTCCATGAATATCATGTCCTATAAAACTGAGAAAGCTAACCCCGAAATGTCCTGTGCCTCTGTTTCCTGGAATAGAGTAGGAAGACCTCATGAAAGTTAGCTGTGAGTAGTGTTCCCTGGAGTTTGCTAGTAGACTCAATGGGTTCCACTCCCCGCGTGTTACCTCATTTGACTCTGGACCAGTAACACAGTATCCTTAGTCTCAATGTCCTCATCTGTAATGAGATAATACAGTCTACCTCACAGAAGTGTTTCTATATTTTGAAACTGACTAGGAAAGTGCTTGCTCACAGAATTTGACACAAAGGAGACACCCTGATACTTTTTGTTTAAAAAAAAAAAAAAGTACATATACAAATGATTTAGCCAATAAAACGACTACCAATTTACTACCAATGAAAAGAAATATCATTAGCCACCATGACTGATTGCTCTCCAGATCCCAATTTCTGTGCTTTTGCCTAAATCCAGTCATTGCCCACTTGGTCTGTCTATACTTTACCAAACCTGACTGACTGCTTTTTTCTCTGTGTTTCTTTTATAGTACTTATAAAATTTAAAATTTTGCCATTTTAACCATTTTAAAGCACACAGGCATTAAGTACATTCACAATGTTGTACAAGAATCACCACTAACTTGTTCCAGAACTTTTTTATTACTCCAAAAGGAAAGCTTATACTCTTTATCAGTCACTCCCCCTTCCTTCCTTGCCCCCTTCTCCCAGCCCCTGGAAACCACTGATCTCCTTTCTATCTCAACATACAATTTCATAGTATTTGCCTATGCTGAGTATCTATACTAATAAGAGAGAAATATGGTAATTGACCATCACTCCGTGACACCCACAGACAATCGGGAGGGAATATGTAAATTAGCAGGACAAAGATGGCAGAGGCCATGGAGCCAGCTGGAGTGGGCAGAAAGCTTATGTTGCCCCTAGTGACAAGGGAAGGAAGCCAAGCTTCCTGCCTGCCTGGGCCGACCGCTGAAGGAGGGGCCTGCAAACAGCTCTCAGCCCCTCACCCAAGCAGGTATAGAAATAGAATTGCTGGGTCACATGGCAAACTCTGGGTTTAACTTATTGAAGAAACTGCTTGTGACTTCCTAAGTGGCACTCTTTATTGTTTTGCGTGAGTAAAAGCTGACTTCCTGGCTCAGAGCCCACATCGAGAGGAGCCACCAACCAGCCATGTGAGTGTGCCATCCTGGCAGTGGCTCCTCCAGGCCCAGATGAGCCTCCTCAGCTGGTGCCTCCTAGACCAGAGATGGGCCGTTTCCAGGAAGCCCTGCCCACATTACACATGTTGTTTTAGCCACTAAGTCTTGGGGTGGTTTGTTAAACCGCAATAGGTAATTAGGGTCACTGGCTCTCAGACATCTCCTCTTCCTAAACCAATGTATCAATGTATCAATGTATCTACAATGTATCAATGTAGAACCCTGGTGGTTCTTATTACAATAGCAAGACGCCCTTCCGTGATGACCATTGGGGAGGGGAAGGTCTACTCCTCACACCAGGGGGCACCCAGCAAGGCCCCCGGTGGAGAGAGAGCAGGGGCCTGGAGTTCTCCTTTGTTGGGGTTGAGTGTGGAGGCCTAGGGTTTCATGGGCTCGCCTTTTATTGGTGAATTTAAAATATAAGAGCAGGAAGGTGAAGTGCGGGAAGAGAAGAAAACAAGTGGCCCACAGGGCCCGTTATTAAACCCACCAAGATCTCTAAACAAGGGTGCCTCAGAGTGGGTGTCAGGCTCTCCAGCTGGTGTGGCCGGTGTCCTCGTTACCCGAGATAGCCGTCTTTGAAGCGGATGCCTCTTTGAAATGAATGCCGTGGCAGTCAAAGCTCACCTCAGACGCTTGCATTACAAAAGAAGAAAAGCCACTGTCAGGGCTCACACCACAGCTCCTCAGTGTGTGTGGCGCTGCTGACGTGAGCAAACCGCCTGTGGTGCTGAAGCACAGCACACACCACATGACAGGCCTGCACCGAGGTGCGAGGTGCCCTCTGCGATGTTTGCACAACGACGCAAGCACCCAACGACCCATTTCTCAGAAGACATCTCTGTCTGTCGTTAAGCGGCACATGGCTGCGGAAGCTTAAATATCGTGGAAATTTCCAGAAAGAGCCACAAGACACTGCAAGCGGCAGTTCACTCTGGGAAACAGAGACTTTTACTTTTGGCCTTTGAACTGCTTGTACAGTAGATGGCTTGTATGTATTTTTAGGGGCAGAGATTTCGGTTCCTAAAGCTAGCAGCAGTTGAAGTGATGTGGGAGTCAGCTGTGAGGGATGTGCCTGCTGACATGGGCTGATGCTATTTCCTAAGCAAAGCAGAGCCCCACCCTGTGGCTCTGAGGAAAATAGGTAGACACAGACCCACAGGGACGGCCAGGGATGGGATCTACCTAAAATAGGCGGGCTGATGGTGGCAGGGCAGGCGGATGGCCGAGGACTTGCCCTTACAAGCAGAGGAGATCTGTGAGTGTCAGCTGACCGGTTTGCTCATGCCGGGAAGCCTGCCCTCATCCAGGGCCTGCCCGGTGCTGTTCGGCATGCAGTGCCGGCCGCAGTGCCTTCTAAGCACTATACGCATATCAATCCATTAAACCCTCACAGCAGCCCAACAGTTTTATTTCCTCACTTCACAGATGATGGAACAGAGGCAGAGGTGAATGAATGAGTGAGTGAGTGAAGCTACCTTGGGTAGCTACATTTCTAAAGTGACTCCGTAGGAAGATAAGCATATACAGCTGCTTTTCGTATACACACTTTAACAGCTGATGACTCAATTTTAAAAATGATGTTTATTTTAATAAACTCTGCCTTTATCATTCTTTTAAGTACATGTATACATTTTCGAGGGACACTCCATATTCCAGAGTTGTTTTCTGTTGATTGGCAACAAAGGCGAGGAACCCATGGGTCTGTCAGAGAACTGGGCGAAAGCTGTAGACCAATCATGCGTGTGATCACAAGATCCTTGGGTCCCGGGAGCCCAAAGTGGACGCAGGGTCCAGAACTCGTTCTGCGGGTCTTTCAGACCTAAGACACGGGGATGCGTTGTGATGTCCCTTGTCCTCTTGAAGTTTCTAAGTTTAACACACACACACACACACACACCAAAAAAAGTGCCAACTTCTCCAACCCTGTAGTCATCGTTTTATGGGGAAACGTGGGAAATAAAATGTCATGTAGTCCAAAGTCAGTTTGTCATCTGGCACGTGCAAATGTGACAAGTTGGATAATGAGGGGTACCATCTACTTTGTCCAATGTGGGCAATTTGGGGTACAAAAGGGGCACCACAGGCTGGGAGTCCTGGGCTACCCAGGGCAGTCACTTGGGCGGAACAAATCTGTATCCAATCATGTCTGTCTGATGGAGAGGGAGGACTGGCTGCTTTCCCAGGAGTCCCAGGCGGAGAGTCACGTGCTTACCTGCCTCACCCGCCTCGCTACTTTGATTCCCATCTCTACCCTTTTGAACCTATTGTTCCCTGTACATACACACAGCGTGGCTTTGTGCCTGGTCTGGAGCACTCCTAGGCTGGAGAGCTGCTCACTCCAGATTAGAGGTCAATGCCAAGAGCAGGGACTTGGCCCTCCCCGTGTGCCCTCGCCTGCTCCCCCGGCTTACAGCAGGCCTGCCTTCCCGTCCAGCTCACCTCACTGTTTACCAGGTCAAAGCACAGTGACCCCAGGGGCCTGGCGGCAGTGAAGGTCACTTGTCCCAGGGCACCCACCCCTAAGCCAAACCAAGTGCCATCCCAGGAGCCAGGGCGGCCATGGGTTGAAATTTAACCATCGGGGCTCACGGTTGGGGTGAGTTTTGACAATAAGAAGCGGGTCCAATCCACTCCGCCGGTTTCCCAGGCAGAGCGAGGACAGTAGGAAAGACCCTCTCGTTATTGGGTTCTGCGCGGGGACAGACCCAAGATGCTCAGGACCCCGATGCTGGGCAGGAACCACGCCAAGTCCTCAGGCCTCTCCGTCTTGGCCAAGCAGGTGTGGGGGGCTCCGCGAAGCCACCTGCTGAGGCCCGAGCGCCCGTGCTCCCAGGTGCCCTGTGCGCACAGAAGTAGGAATAACGCCTGTAAGTAGCATTGCTTAGAGTCCTCCCGTTTCCCCAAATGCCGTCTGACGTTTAGCTGATCTTATGGCAGGGTGTCTTTCAAAATGAAGGCAGCCTGGAGGCAGGAGGCTCGGGTTCAGACTGCCGTTCCGTCTCTTTTCCTGAGGGCGACCTTGGCGAGTTCTTTAAACTGATTCACCGGGGGAGAAGGGGGTAGGGGGGCTCGGGACAAGGCACCCCTTCCCCAAGACAAACTGTTCTTATGAAGGATCCAGCCCTGAAGGACCAAATGAGCCAGTTATCAGAGCTCCAAACCTCCCCAGCAGAGAACATTCTCGGCAAACAGGCCGTCAGTACACCCAACCCCTCTGTCCAGGGACTGCCTGCTCTGCCCGCCTCACGCCGGCATTTGCATGCTTAATGCTCTGTGAACTTGGGCGCATCCTTTCCACTTTCTGGGTCTCAGACAAAGGGCGTGCGCTGAAGGCTGATAAGGTGGCTTCTGACGTCAATAGGCCACACTTTGCAGGGCTGGGTAGTTCACAGAGCTGGGGCCTCAGAGCCAGTCGCTCCTGGGGCCCGGCATTGGTGACACCTGTCTGCAGGGAGAGCTGGGCTGTGGCTTCTCCTCCCTGAGTCTCCATGTCCTCACCTATACAACGGGGTGACTCGGTGCCGCATGGGCTGCAAAGGATGAAATTGTGTGTGGGAAGCCTGGCACCCAGGCTCTCAGGGAGCGCTGTTAGTTCGTTCCAATGAGTCTGTTGGTCCACCCCTGTGAGTGATGCTGAGCTCTATCTCGAACCCACAGGGCATCCTACAGGAGCTCTCCAGGCTCCACTGGGGGCCCCGTCAGGCCAGAACCCAGGCTGTGAAGCGAGGGCAGGCAGCCTGGGGTGTGCTGGACCACACGCCCTGGGGGAAGCCTGGGCTCCAGCTTTAAGAGGACGTGATGCTCAGGAGTGGCTACAGGCCTCCGAGAGCAGGAAACCAAAGGAGTCCTCCAGGACCAGGGTGGCACAGAGGTGAAAACCAAAGCCACCAGGATGCACTTCAAGCCCCAACCAGAAAGGGCTGGGATGGAAGCCGGGTCCTACCGCCACACCCAGTCCTTTCAGTTACCCCCACTCAGAGTGGGGTGCCCAGACCAGCAGCCGCAGCACCACCTGGAACTTGTGAGAAATGAGGAACCTCAGGCCCCACCCCAGACTTACTTGAAATTTCAAACCTTACGGAAGCATATCCACTCACATAGACCCTCCCACAGGCCCCCTCCAACCCAGCTCCCAGAGTACTCTGCAGTGCGGCCTCCTGACGCTTTCCCCACGCACAGGGAAGCCTCCCCACACATACACAAAACTTCCCAAACAGTAAGTGCACTGTGCGTGCGTATCTGCATTTAGGTTTTCTTTCTTAACTGTACACATCGCCACACTGTCTCTCAGTAGCTGTCCTCTCTGAGTACCTAGTTCAGCCACTAAGAGCATCAGACACTTTGTGGACCCATGCCCCTCGGCAAGTTTCTTAACCTCTCAGGGCTCAGTTTTCTCACCTGTAAAAGGTGAGTAATAAGCACGGTGGGCGTGGCTCAGTGGTTGAGCATCAACCCATGAACTAGGAGGTCACAGTTTGATTCCTGGTCAGGACACTTGCCCGTGTTGCAGGCTCAATCCCCAGTAGGGGGCGTGCCAGAGGCAGCTGATGGATGTTTCTCTCTCATCATTGATGTTTCTATCTCTCCATCTCCCTTCCTTTCTGAAATCAATAAAAATATCTATATATATATAAAGCCATTGTCCATGATGACCAGGACAACCAAGCATTGAGCACCTCTCGGTCCCAGCCCCTGGCCCTCAGGCTCTGATGGATCAGTGATGGTGAAGGGGGAATGGGGTTGGGGTGGTGGGAGAACCAGGCTGGCTGTCAGGCCCCTGGGATCACCAGCTCATCCCCAGCTGCTCGAGGACTCAGGCCTGCAGAGAAGTGTGTGCCAGTGACTACCTTCACGTGAGTGTGCCGGGCCGGAACACACTGCCTGCTTTGGGGCCTCTTGTGTCAGGGAAGGTAGGTCGCAGGCATGCCCTGAAGCTTCTGTCAGTGCCTCAAGCCCCAGCACCACCACCAGCAGCAGCAGCAGCAGTGGCAGTGCCTACATGAGTGGCCCCAAGCGATCCGTCGGTGTGTGCCATCAGCGGCCTGCCTGGCATATGTGCATGGAGGTGAAGTTGCTGGCACCCATTTTCCTACAGGCCTGAGCCCCTGAGCCACAGAGGATGAGCTGTGATCCCAAAGGCCTGACAGCCCAGCAGCGGAGGCGGTGTTCAGCCTGGGGACTGGAGAATGGGCAGAAGATGGCCCTGATCGCAGGAGGCTGGCTAGGCGTAGGGGCCTACCTGCACGATTTCGTGCACTGTGCCTCTAGTATGAAAAGGAAGGCTTGGACCAGTGCTTGGCATCTTGTGAGAACTCCCTGAGCTCTGTTATTACTGTCATGGGCCATCATACACATGTCCCTGTATGTAGCCATTACCCTGGTGGGAGACATGGAGTTCCTTTTTTAATTCTTACAGACCATACTCTCCCCCACCTTTGCACTCGCGTCTGGGACAGAATAACAAAGTAACTCTGTATCAGGTGCCTAAATCGGTTTATGCTGTATTTATGCTGTAGTTCTCAAACTGCTGGTGGGGGAACCCCAGGGGTTCTCTTCTATTTTGTTTATTGGGATTTGGCAAAACGTTTCATTTTGGGGGGAAAGGACGCTTGCTACTAAAAATGAGTGAGAATCACTGGTGGTGTGGTCCCAGGAGAGGCAGGGTTATAAAATGTTCAGAAATAATTTTAGGGACCACTTCAATGAAGCGTGCTTGGACCATGTTTCAGTGTGTGTGTAAGCTACCTTTTACCAGCAGCGGCCACCTCTTCTGAAGTCTGGGATCAGTGACTTTCATATTGGCAGCTTAAAATCGGCCCTGGAGGGAGTATCCCCCGTAGTAATCAACAACACCCCACCTCAGAGCTGCTTCTGCCCCCGCTGAGGTGGTCATTAGCCTTCAGCAGCACACCGGTGCGTGCTCTCAAGCATTTTAACAAGCAGCTCTTGCTCTTGTGTCTGCAGGGCTTGGGTTTGGCTTACCCTGGCTGGGCCGGGCTGGGCTGGACTCCCAGCTGGGGTGCCCGGATCTGTGCACTGTGCCTCTCCTCCTTCCTGCACTCGGGCCAATGTGGGACCCACAGGAGCGGCTCTGTGAACGCGTACTGAAAGGTTTAAGCGGCGTCACTTCTTCGCAGGCTGTGATGGGCAACACCTTTTTTTTGGTGGCAGGGACAGTGTTCCACATAGCAGTTTCATGGTTGGCGGCCCCTTTGGCCTTCATGAAATGTCACAAATGTACCCTAAAAACTCCCACTCTTCTGCACCTTGCACCTCTGTGGGGGGGCAGCTGAGTCCCCCCTCCCCCTCCGGTCAGGGGAGGCTGCCTCGGTGGCACTCAGCTGCTCCCGTGTCTGTCCATGCTGAGGGTTGTGTAAATCCCCGTTTACCCTTTGGGAGGATGGGTGTGAACATGGCCTGTGAGGGCTACACTGTGTTAAATGTCACTCCCCATCAGACACAATTGTGGTTTGTGCAGCTCAGAGGGGCTTGAGAGAACAGACAGTGGAAGACCAGGCACTCCTGGTACAGATCTGGGTTAAAGCACCCCTGGTAGAGATCTGGGTTAAAGTAGGAGGTGGCTGAACAAAGGACACCAGACAAAGGTGCAGGCCGGTTATCCGGCTCTGAGTCTGCTGCCATCCATTCATCATCAGGAACCGGAGAGGCAGAGTGCTGGGCAGCTGCAGGGAGCCCAGGCTGCTCTTTCTCTGAGCCCAGCCAGTCATTGCTTTAGGGCACTGGGCAGAGTGGAGCTAACATGGAGTCCACAACCTGCTGCTATTATATACTTCTAGAGGCCCCGGGCATGAAATTCGTGCACTCTGGGGCGGGGAGAGGGGGTTGTCCCTCAGTCCGGATTGCGAGAGGACACAGGTCAGACTGAGGGGCCCCACTGGTGCACAATCAGGGCCAGGGAGGGACACAGGAGGTTGGCCAGCCGAGGAGGAACTGAGGGAGGCTCTAGGCGCAGGGGTCCTCAAACTTTTTAAAGTGGGGGCCAGATCACGGTCCCTCAGAGAGCTGGAGGGCCGGACTATATGAACTACTAATTCCTACTGTAACACCTCGGCTGCGCTCACTGCCCAAAAAACCTGGCGGGCTGGATCAGACTCCTCTGCGGGCCGCATGTGGCCCGCAGGCCTAGTTTGAAGATGCCTGCTAGGGCATGTCTGGCCCATCTGGCTTAGTCCTGATCAGCTGGACCCCATTAGCAAGCTAACCTTTTGGTTGGAGCATCTGCCTCAGGTGGTCAGTGCACGTCATCGTGACTGGTTAACCGTTGACTGTCTGCCCCCTGGTGGTTGGTGCACATCATAGCAAGTGATTGAGCAGCCTTAGCATATCATTAACATGTTACACTTTGGTTGAACGGATGAATGGATGACTGGATGTTTAGCATATTAGGCTTTTATTAGATAGGATTATTCTCGTCTTACAGATGAAGCTTGGAGGGGGCGGGCAGGGAGAAGGTAAATAACTCTCTGCCAGTAACTCAAGTGGTGAGTAAGGAGAGCTGGCTTATTTGGTCAGAAATGTGTCTTTCCCCCTACATAATGGTAAAAACTTTAACACAAAATTAATTATCAACACAAACATGGGAAGATGTTGCATGAAAATCTTCATTTTTATCCTCTCTTTAAAAATCTAAAGATCTTGCAACAAATGCTGCCACGCTTTTCTGTCAGCCACAGTCATCACCTCTCCCTCCCGCCTCCCGGAGCCAGGATGAGAGTCAGCTGCCTCCTCGTTTACCTGGCCTGCTTGCCTGGCCTCAGCAGCCCCCGGTCTGCACCCAGGCCCGGGCAGGATGACAGCCAAGGTCCTCACTGCAGCCTCCACTGCTGTGATCCCATGAGCCCGGGGTCTTTCACGCGGTTGGTGACTCCTGCCTGAGATGAGCTCGATGAGTCGCCTTCCCTGTGTGGAAGGCGGTGCCTCTTCACTGTGCCGTCCTCCAGGTTCCAACTCTGTGCTCCTTCTCAGCTCACTGTCAAATCAAGGTATAAATTATTGTTAAAATATTTGCATATATAGGATTTCCTTCATCAACATGTCCACTTTCATAGGGAAGGCAAGACACGTGAGTCTAAGGTGCCATTTCAGGCCTTAGATGGGTGGCCATTGGCAGACGCGTAGACCCACAAGCATCTACAAAGAGCAGAGAAAGCCCTGCCAGGCTTGGGGGCCAGGAGGGGTGGAGGGAGCAGCCCAGAACAAGGGAACCTTGAGAAAAGGGGCCAGGGCCATTCTTCATGGTTTCCTTGCTGCGAGCATTTTCCCCTCTTTCTTCTGGAAGACTTTGGGGTATCTGCTGTCATCCAGGTGAGTGTGATGGGACAGGAAGAGGTGCCCAGCTGCGCTGCACTCTGCCTCACCCACCCGCTCCCCTGGTCTGGCCTGGAACTACGGCCAGGGGCTTCTTGGAAGCACACTGACACAGATCAGAACCAAATCAATGCAGCGGAAAAATCGGTATCTGGGGAGGGTCCAGAGAGGGCCTGGAGCAGGCCCCCAGTGGTGGTTGGGGTAAGCTGCGGACCTTCTGGGGCCCCCAGGCTCCACCTGGGATCTCTGCCTCTGCCTCTACCCCTGCCTCTGCCTCTGCCTCTGCCTCCGAGGCTCAGTGTGGCCAGAGCAGCATCAGGATCGCCTTCTCTCTCTCCCTCTGTCCCCAGTGCACCCCCTTTGGAAGGGCCAAGCCTCCAAGCCCGGGGGCTCCCGGCAGTCCCCCATCAACATCTGCTGGAGGGACAGCGTCTACGACCCTGGGCTGCGCCCTCTCCGGGTCTCCTACGACGCCGCGGCCTGCCGCTACGCCTGGAACACCGGCTACCTCTTCCAGGTGGAGTTTGACGACGCCAATGAGGGCTCAGGTGAACCTGGAGCGGGGTTTGAGGCTTTTCTCTTCTCCTGTCACATCCTAAGAGCGGGTCATGGACTTAGCAGAAAAAGGCCTGAGAGCCTTCAGTATAAAGTCTGGGGACAAGGACAGGCACTGGGGCGGCAGAAACAGGATGAATTATCTGCGGGGACGGGATGCTTAAGTTACAGATTATAATGCCAATCACGGTTCTGAGGGGACAAAACTATGAATGAAGTTACATCCCTTTCTTCTTGGTTACACTCCAGGGATGGGGGAGGAAGAAATTCTAAGCAAATAGAAACACAAATACATCGCTCGTCAGAGAGAAAAGCAGAGAAGGGCCGCAGAGAGCGGTGGAGGGAACTTGGCAGGAGAGGAAGAGGGATGGCGTCTGGAGCCTGGTCACCTTGCTGGTTCTTACTCAGGGGAGACGGGTGGCCAGCAGACACTGAGCTGGCTGAGGGTTTATTTTTTATTTTTTTATAACATATTTTATTGATTTTTCACAGAGAGGAAGGGAGAGGGATAGAGAGTTAGAAACATCGATGACAGAGAAACATCGATCAGTTGCCTCTTGCACACCCCCTACTGGGGATGTGCCCGCAACTAAGGTACATGCCCTTGATCGGAATTGAACCCGGGACCTGTCAGTCCGCAGGCCGACGCTCTATCCACTGCTGGCTGAGGGTTTAAATGAACACCCAGCTGCCAGGAGGAAGGGGAGCGGAGGGGGCGATGTGGAGGCTGTCTGGGATGATGGAGGGCTCAGGGGCAGGTAGGTAGGGGCGGCGGGAGAGAAACCCCCGAAGCCCCCTTTCCTTTCTAGGTCCCCGGCTCCAAGAACCAGCTCATTAAATCCTCGCTAGGATGCTCGAGAGTTAGGGACAGCTACTCCGTCAGGCTGGGGCTGCTCCTTTCTACCTCAGACCTCTCAGGATTGTAAACTTGTATACGCCGCACATCCGTATTCTTTCTGGGAGTGGAGACTATCTGTTCATGCCAGGTAGAGGGTGCCCCTATGGCAGCCCCCAGTGAAAACCTTGGGCACCAAGCCTCCTGTGGGTGTCCATGGTAGACAATACTTCATGCGTGTTGTCACAACTCATAGCTGGGGGGTCAGCGCGTCCCTGTGACTCCAGCAGAGAGGACACTGGAAGCTGCGCCTGGTCTCCAGACATCACCTGGGACAGCTTTTCCCTTTGCAGGCTTTGCTTGGATCCTCTCTCGTTAATAAATCCAACCCTCAGAGGCATTCTCAGCTACGACTCCCCAGATGCAAAGGATGAGAACCCCAACTCTGGCCAACATAAGCAGGGAGGAGCTGCTCAGAAGGCTAGGCCTGGCTGCAACAAGAGGAGGGAAGGTGGACATGCAGATCTTGGAAAGCACAGGAACCAGGAAGCTCAGGGCTCCAGGAGCAGGGGTTCTGTATTTATTTACTTAGCACACCAACATTTTTTCTGACCCTGTTGGTCTGTTCCAAGTGCAAATTCCCAAGGAGCAACTAAAACAGGCTTTCCAGGAATATGGTTTGTATTCATTTTGAACATTTTATGCAGCAACTTGAAAAGATTAAATAAAGAATAATAGTTCCTGAACTTTGGCTTGGCTAATAGTTGCGTGATACATATTCTAATAAGATTGAGAAAAACAGATATGGATGTCAATGAGCTCATAAGACTCCTCTATAATTTTTATGTGTAGCTATGGGTCTGGCTGATATCTATAAACAGATTTCTTTTCCTTTACGTTTTAAAATATAAAACAACTTTGAAGGTTACTTTGGACTTTTGTATGAATAGAGCTAAGATACATTTGAAAAAAACAATTCAGATTCCCAGAGGGAAAGGTCTAGTGGCTGAGCTTGGTCAGTGGGGAACTCAGCACCCTGACCCTTGTCCTCACCAAGACCACATGCTCAGGTGCTATTTCTAGAAAGGGAAGCTGAACTGTACAGACAAGCAAATACTCTCTTTAAAAAGCACCACTATAATAGCACACCCAAAACAGAAAACCACTGTGAAAGTACTGGGTCCTCGTTCTATGCAAGAAGAAATGGAAGTGACTCACTCAAGATCCAGTGGCAGAGAAGTAGAAGGGTCCTGGTTTAAGGCCAAGTCCTGCTGGTTCTAAAGCCCCCGCCGGTCATTCACTGGCTCCTTCTCCTTGATAAGGGTTTCACTGGCACAAACTTAAACATTCCTTGAAACCACCGAGTGAGACGAATATTATTCCCCATTTGACAGATGGGAAATGTGAGGCTCAGATTCACGGCAGGAGGTCACAAAGCCCTCACAATGAGATTCTCTGCTCTCCGAGGAAGGGAATTTTAGGAGCACAAATCCTCTGAGGAAGGAACCTACAGCCAATGTCCACAGGTTCAGGCATGAGGCCAGAGGTGCTAACCGCATGCACAGGAGGAAAAGAGCTAGCACACGGGAGGAATGTGGTCCTGTCAGTCCTCCAGGGAGCCGGCAGCCAGCTCAGGGGCCAGGTGGGCTCTTGGCTCAAGCCCAGCCAAGCCATGTCCAGTGTACTCACCCCAGCAGGAGAGCCAGGGGCAGTGAGGTCAGCCTGGGCACCTGTCTCTCACCTACCGGCGAGAAGACGCCCACATCCAGACCTTCCTGACAGGTGCTACAGGGAATCTCCTTGATGCTCCAAAGGCCCGATTGTTTATATTATACTTTTATTTGAGTGGCTTACAGTATGTGTGCCTTGGAACCTAGTTGCTCCTGTGTCCCATGGGAGTTCAGGGTCAGAGTTTAGGCTGGGAAACTAGACTATTACAGATGACAATCGTCCTCAGAATCATAAGTCAAGGCCTCTTTTTGGTAAAAAATTTCAGTGTCTTGAATTTTTACCCAACGCTTGAATCATAGGAGCAGGCGTGGCCAGTCCCAGGAACCCTTTCTCTGACTTCAGTGATTGGTTCAAGAATGAGCATGTGACTCAAGCCAAGCCAATGAGAGCCAAAGGATTTTTCTTGGAAATGTTAAAAAAGAACCTCTCTTTCTGCTAAGATTGTGCTGAGGCCAGCTGTAAGGGTGCATCTGTGAGTCTTTACGGCAGAGCAAAGCCAAGAGATGGATAAAAATTGAGGCCAGAGGCCATTATCAGAGCCTCTAACTGCAGATCTGCCTGAAGCCAAACCAGCTTCTGGACTATTCAATCTCTTTTTAGCCTCAGTCAGTTTGATTTATCTTTCAGTCATTTATTTTCAAGAGTGCTAGTACAAGTAAACAAACAATAAGTGACTAGATTAAGAGAGAATAACTAGAAGGGAGGCAGCTGGAGAATCACCAGTTTCATTCCTTTTTAAAAATATATATATATATATATTTTTTTTTTTTATTGATTTTTTACAGAGAGGAAGGGAGAGAGATAGAGTTAGAAACATCTGAGAGTCATCAATCAGCTGCCTCTTGCACGCCCCCTACTGGGGATGTGCCCACAACCAAGGTATCGATACATGCCTTTGACTGGAATTGAACCTGGGCTCCTTCAGTCCACAGGCTAACGCTCTATCCACTGAGCCAAACGGGTTTCAGTCCTTTTAATCTTTGCTCAGATATAATTCAGCTGTAGGCTGGGTTTGTGCCACCCAGGGTGGAGGGGAACGTTGGCAGTGATCTGTTTAACTTGACCCAGAGAGATTATTGGTAAGCACATGGTGCTTTAAGACTCTCAGACCTGTCTGGGAAGCCAGGCCCACATAAACCTGGCCCTTCTGAGTATATGGAGTCCTGGTAAATGTTTAGCAACTGGCCTTCTAGGGAGTGGGTTGTGGGATGGAGGTTGGGGACAAGAAGCCATCATTGGTAGTGTTTGCCACTTCCTGTGGTGTAAATACTCCTGCACTGCCCTCCTATTTTAAGCTCCAGTGCAAAGTCATTGACGTGATTTAGAAAGAGACGCACACAGTCCACAGGAGCCTGTATGACTTGTCCCACATGTCACTCTCTTGTTCTTTTATCTCTTGAGTCCCTGCTGCCTCAGATCTTATTTTTGCTCTCATTTTTTACCAGACATTCATTGTATTGGTTAAGACTTCCTTTGTGTTGCATATGGTAGAGACTCAGCTCAAGCTGGCTTAAGCAAAGAAGAGGAAAACTTAATGGCTTAAATTCCCCGAAAGTACAGGGTGCAGTTGGATCTGAATCCTCTCCCTCTCGGCTCTGCTTTCCCCTGGTGGGTTTCATTTCCTCTGGAATTAGGGCAAGGATGGTGGCCCTGTAGGGACAGCCCACGCCTCTGTCCCAGCAACAGCAGTATCGGCCGCAGGGCCGGTTGCCATGGCCCCACTTTGGTCTTCATTCTGGGTGAGCCAATCACGGTGACCCTGTGGTCGGAGGCCTTGCAGCCAGGTGAGGTCAGAGTGGAGGACCACAGGGATGCCTTCCCAGAAGTGAGGTGAGGCTAGAGAGTGCTCAGTGCTGTCTCAACTGGGCCTGACATCCTTGCTCTTGACCCTGAGCTGACCTTGGCTCACCCCTTTTTCCACATTGCTCTCAAAGTCCAAGGTTTTTGCACCCATTATTGCAGCCAGGCCTCTCCATTGACCTGGCTGTGACCCCCACATTTTGGCTCCTCCATCACCTTCTCAATCTGGTTCAAAGGGACCCCACCCTGCCACAGACCGAAAGAATTATCTGGGTGTCTCTCCCCGGCCACATAAATTAGTTGAATAATTCCCCCCGTGGCTCATGTCCACACAGGCCAATCTGGTTCTACTTTACTTGTTATTTTCTCCAAAACCCAGTTTCCCTCTTCTTTCTTTCCTACTCAATTTCCCAGGCTCCCACACCCATCTCTATAGCTCCCTTTCCAGCCTCTAGCCCCCACCTTCTCAGATTATCTGTCTTCCCTGTCCACTGCTATTGGAAATTGGGAGCTGTGGGAGGAAAGGAAATGGAAAACACAGCTGAAAAATAGAAAGTACAAAAGAAAAAAAAGTTTTGTGCAAGAAACGGAGACTAATGAGATTCCCCCACAATTAAAAGAGAACAA